GGAGGGCTTGCAGGTACCTAAAACTCTGAGGGAAACCCTCCTCTCCAAAGGAAGAGCTGTGGCCCCAAGAGGGTGAGCGAACTCCCGTTGTGTTTTTCTCTCTCTCCTCTCACCATGTGGCCCCAGATATGGGAAGTGGACAGCAGAGATAGGTAAATAAAGCCCGAGTCTTGGCGACAGGACAGAAAGAGGGAGCCTTAGGGAACTGGAAAATACCAAGATGTCACGGAGAGAGAGGACCTTGGGAAAGTGACCCTGTAGTTATTTATGAACTCCTGGGTCATGTCCAAGCTGCATGTGCATGAATCACATCCTAAACAGCATTCTAAAGACTTTGAGAACTGAACTAAAAGCTATATGAACACCAAGCTCCCGCTGGCTGCCACACGTGAGGGAGAGATTTGAATAGCACTGCAAAGGCATTGAAAACAGAACCGACAGTGAAACCATCAGCAAGAGAAGGCTGGTCAGAATGTGTAGCTTGAACCCAACTAGGTCAGTTGCCTGTTAAAATGAAAATATCAAATTATCAACATCAGGAATGAAAGAAGCAATTAACAGTCAGATCCCACAGACATAAAAGGATAATAAAGTAAACAACTCTACTCGCACATTTGACAACTTAGATGAAATAAACTGATTCCTCAAAAGTCACAAACTCCAAACTGCACCCAAGATCAAATATGTAACCTGAATAATTCTATAACTATTAAAGAAATTACGTTTATGGTTTAAAACCTTCCAAAAAAGAAATCTCACAGCCCAGTTGATTTCTCTGGTGAATTCTATCAAACATTTGAAAAGGAGTAACACCATTTCCATACAATCTCTTCCAGAAAATAGAAAAGGAGGTCACACTTCCCAACTCACTTTACGGGGACAGCGTTACCATGATGTCAAACTGGACAAAGACAGTACAAGAAAGGCAGCTTCTGACCAATATCTCTCATGAACGTAGATGAAAACATCCTGAACAAGATATTAACCATTTGAACCTAGCGATATATAAATAGAATAATACACCATGATCAAGTGGGATTCATACTAGGAGTACAAGGTAGGTTTGGTATTTGAAAATCAGTCAATGGAATCACCATATTAATGGTATAAATAAGAAAAACTACATGATCATATCAATTGATGTAGAAAAAGCAAATTAATATCATTCATGGTAAAAACTCTCAGCAAACTAGGAATTCCTCCACCTGAAGGAGTTCCTCCACCTAATAAAGAGCATTTTCAAAAAAGCTACATCATACTTAATGGTAAAAGCTAACATCATGCTTAATGGTGAAAGACTGAATCTTTTCTCCCTGGGATCAGTAACAAGGTAAGGATGTCCGTTCTCACAAGTCATATTCATCCTCATACTGGAAGTCCTAGCCCGTATAATAAAGCAAGAAAAAGAAATCAAAAGCATTCAGATTAGTAACAGAGAACAAGACTACCCCTGTTTGAAAACGACATAATGACTATGTAGAAGATCCTAAGAAATCTACAAAAATACTCTTAAAATAGGTGAGTTTAGCAAGGTCACAGGATACAAGATCAATACACACAAAGATCAATCATATTTCTATGTACTAGCAGTGAACAATCGGAAACCAGAATTTAAAAAAAAATTTACCGTGCCCCCTGTGAAATACTTAGGTATAAATATCACAAAACATATATAGTATCTGTATACAGTCATGTGTCACTTAACATTCTGAGAAATGCGTCCTTAGGAGATTTTGTTGTTGTGCAAACATCATAGAGCGAACTTACACAAACCTAGATGGTATAGCCTACTACACACCTGGGCTATATGGTACTAATCTAATGGGACCACCGTCAAATATGTGGTCTGTTGTTGACCGGAACATCTTTGTGCAGCGTGTGACAGTTCTGAAAACTATAAAATGCTGATAAGACCAAAATAAATGAAGAGACATACATTACTCGTGGATCAGAAGATTCAACAGAGTAAAGATGTCAGTTGTCCCCGTATTGATCAATAGATTTAATGCAATTCCAATAAAAATCCCAGCAAGACATTTTTTCAATATAGACAATCTTATTATAAATTTATACAGAAAGACAAATGAACTAGAATAGCTAAAACAGTTTGAAACAGAGAAATAAAGTTGGATTAATTGCCCAATTTTAAGACTTATAAAGAAACTACAATCAAGACAGTGTGGTGTTGGCAAAGAGACAGACACATAGATTAATGGAACAGAATAGAGTCCAGAAATGGACTCACAAATATAGTCAGTTGGATTTTGACAAAGATGCAAAAGCAATTCAATTGAGAAAGGATAGTCTTTTTCAACAAGTAATGTTGGAACAATTGGACATCTACCTGTTTAAAAAAAAAGAATCTTGATCTAAACCTCCCACTGTATAAAAATTAACTCAAAATGAAAAACACAAAACTGTAGCACTTTTGGAAGAAAACATAGGAGAAAATTTTAATGACCTGAGATTAAGCAAAGAGTTCTTTAAACGTGCACTCTTAAACATGACATCAAAAGCATAATCCATAAAAGAAAAACATTGATAAATTGAACTTCATCAAAAACGTAAAACTTTTACCCTGCAAAAGACACTGTCAAGAGAATGAAAAGACAGGCTGCAGACTAGCAAATCATGTATTCAACAAAGGACTTGTATCCAGAATATTAGAAAGAATTCTCAAAATTCAACGGTAAAAAACCAAACAACCCCCTAAAGCTCATAGAACTAATAAGTGAGTTCAATAAGGTTGTAGGATATAAGATCAACACACAAAAATCAATCATATTGCCTATACACTGGCAAAGAACAAATGGGAACAGAAATTGAAAACACAATACCACTTATAATTCCTCCCTCAAAATGAAATACTTAAGTACAAATCCAACAAAACATGTAGAGGATCTGTATGCTAAAAATTACAAAGTGCTGATGAAAAGAAATCAAAGAAGATTTGAAGAAATTGAGAGACATTCCATGTCCATGGGTTGGGAGATTCAGCAGAGTAAAGATGTCAGTTTTCCACAAGTTGATCTGTAGGATTAACAGAATTTCTATCAAAATTCCAGCAAGATTTTTTGTAGCTTACTCTAGAATTTATGTGGAAACACAAAGGATCTAGAATAGCTAAAACAATTTTGAAAAAGAATAAATTGGAAGGAATCACTCTACCTGATGTTAGGACTTATTGTATAGCTGGAGTAATCAAGACAGTATGAACCAAGACGTGTAGATCAATAGAACAGAATAGAAAACCCAGAAATAAGCACAAATACACCAAATTGATTTTGACAGAGAGGCTAAAGCAGTTTATGGAGGAAAGATAGCCTTTTCAAAGGTTGATGCCGGAGTAATTGGACATCTATAGACAAAAAAATGAACCTCAACCTAAGCATCATATGGTATACAAAAATTAATTTAAAATGGACCATCGATTTAAATGTAAAATGTAAAACTATGAAACTTTTAGAAGAAAACTTAGAATATCTTCAGGACCTAGTGCTTGGTGAAAAGTTCTGAGACACAAGAATATGTGTAACACACGAAAACCACACTCCATAAAAGAAAAAATAAACTGGGCTTCAAAATTGAAAGCCTTTGCATTGCAAAAGCCCCTATTAAAAGGATGAAGAGACGAAGTACAGACTGGGAGAAAATATTTGCAAACCACTTGTCTGACAAACGACTAATATCTGGAATGTGTAAAGAACTCTCAAAACTCACCAGTAAAGACAACCTAACTATAAAATGGGCCAAAAACGTGCATAGATATTCCACTGAAGAGAAGATACAGATGGCAAATAAGCACATGAAAAGGTGTCCATTATCATTAGCTATTAGTGAAATGCAAATTAAGATAGATATCACTATACACTTATTAGAATGACTAAAAACTAGTGATAATACTAAATGCTGGTGAGGATCTGACATGCATTGCTGGTGGGAATATAAAATGGTGCGGCCACTCTGGAAAACAGTTTGGCAGTTTCTTAAAAACTAAACATGTAATTACCATATGACCCAGCGATTACACCTCTGCACATTTATCCCAGAGAAACAGAAACTTAAGTTCACACAAAAACCTGTGCACAAATGTTCAGAGCAGTGTTATTTTTAATAGCAAAATACTGGAAACTACCCAAGTGTCCTTCAGTGGTAGACGATCGAACAAACTCTGGTATATCCATACAGTGGAGTACTACTCAGCAATAACAATGAGTGAACCATTGATACATGCAGCAGCTTGGAAGAATCTCAAAGGCATTACTCTGAGTGAAAGAAGCCTTTCTCAAAAAGTTGTATGATTCCATTTATATGACATTCTGGAAAAGGCAAAAACTGTTGGGATGAAGAACAGATCAGTGGTTGCCAGGGCTGAGGGGTGGAGGGAGGGTGTGATACAAAGTTACAGCATGAGGAAGCTTTTTGGAGGCGACGGAACTGCGCTATATCCTGGATGTGGAGGTGTGTCATGAATCGATATGTGTTCAAATGCATAGAGCTGTACAGCAACAAAAACGTAAAATTTACTGTATATTAATTTGAAAATAAAATGCAGTTTTGGCTTATATCCCTTCTAAGGCTCTCCCCTGCCCTTTAGACCTGTCCAGCTTCCCCTCTCCTCATTGGCACATGTCTTCCTGCCAGTCCAGTGTGCATGCTGTACCTCTTGCCCGCAAACCCTCTTCCCGAGCCCCAGCCCCTTCCCACACTGTACTTCCCCTGGGGTCTGTTTACCCTTCAGGGATAAGCCATTATGGAAAGCCTTCCCTAAGCCAGCCCCCTGCCTGAGCCAGATGCTTGCTCTCTGCAGCCTGGCTCAGCTTCTCGTGCATGGTAGCATAGTGGTTAGCGTGAGCATGGGCTTCCCAGAGCTTTAGATTACCCAATTGTCAGTCCAGTGGAGACTTCAATTATGTGCCTCCCAGAGTTCTTCCAATTCAAAGATTCCTAGTCAGTGGGAGCCAACTTGCGTGGGTTCAAACCGTGTCTCCCTTACTTACCAGCTGTGTGACCTTGGGCAAGTTGCTTGCTGTCTTTTTCCTCATTTCTTTCCTCTGTAAAATGGGTTTAATAATAGAACCACCTCTTAGAGGTGCTGTGAGAATTAACTTAGGTAATGCACGAAAAGAGCTTAGCACCTGGCTTGGCCAACGCTCAGTAAAAGTTAGCTGTAGTTATTGATAATAGTCATCGTGGCAGCTTTAAAATAATACAGGTTCCCAGGTCCCCCTGCCCTGATAATGTGAAGGAGAATGGCATTGGGATATACCTGCATTTTTTTAAAAAGCTCCCTCGGTAGGACTACCAGATTGAGCAAATAAAAATAAGGGTCACCCAGTTTAATTTGAACTTCAAATATACAACAAATAATGTTTTAGTGTAAGTACGTCCCATGCAATAGTTGGGGCCTGCTTGTACTAAAATTTATTTATCGCGTATCTGAAATTCAAATGTCACAGGGTGTCCTGCATTTTATCTACTTGCATTTAACCCTATCCTAGGCAACCTTGACATCCAGCCCACTTGGGGGCTCTGCTCCTGACTCCCTGGGTGGCGTCCAAAATTGAACCTCCCAGTCAAAAAACAGAGAGTATCCTTTCACTTGACACAGGGGGGAGCTAGAGGATGGTTTATTCACTTGCTTTCTTCCTAAATTGATGTCTAAGGAAGCACCAGCCAGTTAGCTGGCTTGCAACATACCTCTCTGTACTTGGGAATCCTTTTCAGAAGATCTTTAGGTCCGCCTCCCAGGGGACTGCTGGGAGGCTGTGAGAAGTGTATACAGAACCAGCTGCCTCTCTCTGTTGGGCCTCACTTTCAAGGGGGCTAATCCAGCCCCTCAGGGACTCCCTTTCTGCCCTGCCCTGCTTCCCCAGGCTGGCCTACCTTTCACATTGATGTCATAGCCCTATTCTGATATCACAGCCCAGCGCTTGGAATTATCCCAAGCAGCCCAGGTTCTGCTCTTAGAGCAACCGAGGCCAACGTTTGTGCAGGGGGTGAGGCGGGCTTGGGTGGCTGGTGGCCTTAGGGGCTGACCCTAAAGAACATCTGGTCAGTCTGCCATCCTGTTCCTCCAAAATGAAAATCTTCTAAAAGGTAGGACTTTGAAGGCTTTCCTCCTGTCCCTGCTGACTGTGGTCCCCCAAGGTGGAAATAAGTTCTTGGGGAGTCTGGAATTGTTCTGGCCCTGGAAACAGCTCCTAGGAAACCTGCTGCCTTTGTGCCTTGGGATGCAAGTGGCCTGGAGAAATGGTGGTCTCCCCTTGGTCCACTCAACACTCTTCTCTTCCTGTTTGAAGGAACGGTTTCCTGTAAGGCAGTGTTCCTTACACGCTGGGGAAAGTTGTTCCTCATGGAGAATGCCTGCACGTTTTTGAGCCGTGGTGGGTTCTTCTGTGGCCGCCTCCTCCCCTGTTCACTCCTCAGAGGCCAGGTGGGGAACAGGGGTGCGCTCTTCTCAGAACAAAGGGAAAATGTAGCCACATTCAGGCTATTAACTCTCAGAGCCCTCAGTCCCAAGGAGGGGAAGCTCCGTTCTCTTAACAAGTCAGAAGGTGTCAGGAGATCTCTTGTGAGCTTCTTAAATTAGTAAAATATTGGCTGGCATGGATTAAACAACATAATAAAAAACTCAATAACTTCTCTCTGACTTTGGTGGGCATAAAGTCCCCTGGGGTGAGCATGTAAAATTCTTAGGGGAAGACCAGTGAGATTTGCTCTGATGGTCAGATGGCGCCCAGGAACCCCCATTTTTATTAAGCATTCCATGTGTGGTTATTCCGGTCCCCCAGGGATCTCATTTTAAGTAACACAGTCTGCTCAGACTCCCTGGATTGCTTGCCACAGCTGGTTTGATTCCCCCATTCCCAAATTCCATGTTTCCATGGAAGAGAGAATGTAGGGCATTTACCAGGTCCATTTGTGTCTGAGTTCTTGGCCCCTGTCTTCCAAGGGTAGGTGCAGCCTTTTTCTCTACCTAATAAGAAGGATTATGTCTGTGTTGGGAGTCCTATACCTTTTACTCATCAGAAACTCTGTCTTCATGGTCCTCACTGGACTGGCATGGATTAACAATACAATAAAGAGAATGTATTGTTTCCCACTGAGAAAGAATATGGGTGTGAATTATTGGTCATTGAAACTGATAGTGGGCAAGAATATTGCTGACCAAAGGGATGGCTTCTGTTTCTGTGGTGGCCCCAGGATGAACACTTAGTGGTACCCAGCAAGGTAGCCAGTGTTTATCAATGGGTTAGCAGCTCAAGGCGGGTATTCCCTCCCTAATTTGGCTGTAAATTCAGGTTTCCCCAAGAATGCTACACAGCCTTCAGAACATATAAGCGTATCCTGCCTTCGTTTGGAGAGGAAGATAGTTTCTGGTTTGGAGCCCTTTGGAATTAGGCAGAGTCCAGCATCCAAGTGTCCAGGCCTGGAGCCCCTGTGGTCTCAGTGCTTTTCTCCATGCTCTGATCCAAGTGGGAGGCAGGATGTGTCCTGCCCCCGGTCCTTGGTCGTTGGTCCTCAGGTGTTGGGACAGAGGGGTTGACCCCACCGAAATCCTCCAAAATGCAGATGGGTCAGCCTGGCTTCCTCTCAAACTCTTCTCCGCTCTGACTCACACCTGGGCCACCTCATCTAGTAAGAGGATTTCCCCTCAGCGATGCCAGGACTGGATATTGGCTCACTCCAGTCCACTTGCCCAAGGAAGGGGAGGCCCTGACTGCCCGTCCTGGTTTTTGAGGAGAGAAAAACCAGTGCCCACTTTGAGAAATGAGGTTTTGGGGATTTTGTTAAAATGAAGGACAGAACTCTGCAGGTCAGGACAGCATCCCTAAGGCTCCTTGCAGGTGGAGCCAGCGCTTTTACTTTACAGCTTCAGCAGAACCTCGGGTATAGTTGTTGCTCAGCAAACATGTCGGTTGAAAGAGGTACAGGTAAAAGCCTCAGATAGGACAGTTGGGCTCAAGGATGCTGCGAAACCTTGGGGATGGGATTTTTTTAAACTTTCGGTTTTTTTGTTACGGGAAATGTAAGACATAAACAGAAGTGGACTGAAGAGTCTCAGAAACCTGCACATACCTGTCACCCAGACACAGCAGTTGTCTACTCAATCTTGTCTCTATGCCTCCACCCTCCTCCCCCATCCGGTATCATCTTGAAGCTAGTTGCAGACATCATCATATCATTCATTGTCAATATTTCAGGATGTACCTTTAAAAGATAGGATTCCTTTTTTTTTTTTAACAGAGCCGAAGTACTATTATCTCATCTAAAAAATTAATGATAATTGGAATGAGGTTTGTTTAAACGAGCCAGTACTCTCCCTGGTGTCTTAGAGCATGTGCGGGAACTAGAAAAGGGAATACAGGGGCTGAGAGACATCTGTGTGCTTCCAGCAGAGACGGCTGGGCTTTATTCAGAGTCTAAAGAAACCAGAGAGGAAGTTAACATCCCTCAGCTGGGAGAGAATTCTGGCCCTTCCCAAAGCAGCAGGGCTTGGGTGGAGTAGGTCGTCATGGAAGGATGGAGACTTCTAATGGCTTGGCCTTTCCAGGGGGCTCTGTAGAATAAAGGGTGGGGCATGAGTTGGAGTCAGTTCTCAAGTATCCACATTAGCAAAGGCAAGAGCTACCAGAAAGAAACTCAGCAAAGTGAGGGTATTTTGTTCTGTAGGAGGGGTTGGCAATTTGAATTTAGATGTGGTCCCGTGACCCATACAGATGGCAGCAGCTTACCCCCAAGGGACCCATATAAATCAGTGCCAGCTGAAAGAGGCTCAGCGTAAATGGGTCACCAGCGAGTTTGAATGTATGTGCAGAATTCGAGGAGACTGATGTTCAGTTCTTGGAGAAACTGAGTTGGAGTTTCACAGTGAGGGTGACAGGCAGCCTTTGTTCTGACCTCACCTCTCCCCGTGAGACCCTCTGCCTGCCCGCTAAGCCCAGGAGCCAGCCCAGAGGTGGCCCCCGTATTTCAGTAGAAAGTAGACATTCTGAAACATGTTTGTATTGGGGGGTGGTCTTCATAAGAGGACTAGTAGGGGTCATTTGACAAAAAAAAGTAGACAAAAAAGTCATTATCTACATTTGATACATTCTTACCATTGAGATGCTTTAAGCATCGTTTTCCTGCCAGGGCAATTACCTTGATTACTAATTGCTTCCTTTATAACTAAAGGGCATAATAGCGCCTTCCTTTATAATTATCAGATTTGAAAGGCCTATGCTCTGTTGACATTTAGATGTGAACCTGCTTTCGGATCTGTGGGCATGAGTATCAGGATCTGACGCAGGCAGGGCAGTTGGCTCACTGTGCCACTAGTTTCCAAGGCAGAGGGCCCCACGTTGCCTAAAACCAAGACAGGCGGGGCTGGGACATCTCCCTGGGTACCTCCTGCACTTCACTTTGCTGGTTTGAGCTTTGATTTGGAGATAAACTTTGAAAGCTCAAGGCTAGGTGTTCTGGGCTATGGAACTGGAAGGCTGGGCTCTGTTGGGGTCCCCTCAAGCAGTTCCTGAATCTCCTTTGCATCATGGTATGAAGGGGAGTGGCTTAGTAAAAGGGGTGCAAAATTTGGGATCCTGGCTTGGCTCTGATTCACCGTGTGTCTTTGGACTAGGCCCTCAATCTCTCTAAGCCTCAATTTCTTTGCCCATCAAAGGGAGGAATAATGATGTATCATAAGATGGTTGTGAGGATAAATAACAACAACAACAATAATAATGATAATAAAATAATACACAACAACTCTAGGTGAGATAGAAGCGTGTGGCACAGCTGACAAATGCCAGTCATTATCAACATACGCCATCCCTAGCTTTTCAGCCTGGATCCCTAGTTGACAAGAGATCTATGTGTGATGGCCTCATGCATGTGGGGATGTCTCCTAATTGCACTGGAAACACCTTGATAGACAGGGACCTCTTTACTAATTCTTTTTTTTAAAATTATTTTTTCATGGTTTTCTGTTCAGAGTCAGTTGGTGGCAGGGAACAAAAACCCACCCAAATTGTCTTAGGTAAAAGTAGGGGATTATGCTTGGGGTGCATCCTGGAGAGAGAGGATGTGTTAGCTCGTCCTCCCTCTGACCCTCCCACTTCTGATTCTCTCCCAGTATCCCCTCCATTTCCTTTTCCTCTGCAGACTGGCTGCTTTATTCCTCTATAACTTTGTTCTGCTAGTGAGCCTGACTTGCCCTGGCTGTGTCCAGCCTCCTGGCTGCTGTCTCTGGGCCCTAGTTTCAAATTCTTGGGCTAGAGGCTTCAGTGCAGCTTGTAACAGAAACCCAACCCTGTTCCCATCAGGCATGGCCAGGGGGTAGGGTCACGCCTGAGGGACGATCTGAATGTCTTTAATGAGGGAGCATGAAATCCTGCCCCTTTTCTGGGTGCTTCTAAGATGTGACCTCTTCTACATACCCTTCCCTGATTACCTCCAGCCTCCATCCAGTGGTCCCTCACTGCTCCCACCAGGAGCAGGAGCGGGAGCAGGAAGAGAACAGGAGGGTAGGCAGCAGCTATATGGGCTCCATGCGCTCTGCAGCTGCCCCTTGCCCATGCCTAGCCCAGGCCAGGGAACTGTGATGAGCTCGGACCCAGCTCTGGAGGGAGGCCAGGCCAGCAGGCAGGCGCAACAACCATGAATTGTGGAAGAGAATCCTTGGGGGACAAGACAGTCCCCTGGAGGCAGGGGCAGGAGACATGGAAGCTTCCAGAGGCCCCTCACAGGCAGCCTGGGTTGCCAGGGGGCCTTGTAAGCACAGAAAGAGCTGGGCCCAATGGAGGCTGGCTCTCGGCAGCATAGTGGTTGCCCGTCCATAAGTGGCATGCCTAGGCACAGTGGCACCAGCAGCCAAGGGCCTCAGTGTAATTCCTACAA